TGACGGTGGGCTGAAAGTTCGAAGTCAGGGGAATAGACGGCGCTCTGGAAGCACGACGTTGCTCTCTCGGCCGGGCCTGCCTTGGAGTTTCGTTTGATGTTGCTGGATTGTCACCGAGGATGTACTCGCACACCTCCCCGGGACGCTTCGACTTTCTGCATCTGTTGCATATTGGTTGCGCGTGATCGCAGGCTACTTTGCGTTTTCGGCACGGCTCACAAGCCTGCGGCCGCCCGTTCTTTCGGAGTAAGAGCCGGGGTGGTGTTTGCGTTGAATCCATCTGGGGAAAGACAAGAATTCTTTTCCTTTACTCAAGCGATCCGATCGAAAGCCCGCAATGTACCCGTATTACAAGGTTGAATGTTTCGTAAGAGAAACTTCGGGAAGTGAATTGGAAATTCTCATCAACAACACGGCATCGGCTCGACTGTTGACCGCATGAAGTTGGTGATGTGAAGTCTCGGCTTCGGCTTCGTGAGCACGGGCGGTTGGACTCGGCTTCGGAAGTGGAACCTCTCAGCCCGTTCGTCCCCACCTCCTCAAGCCGTCGCACGATGACTAAAATCTCATCTTTTGACTCCTTCAAGACCTCCACCCTCTAGCCCGACTTGACTGACCGAACAACGAACAAAACCTGAAGTTGAAAGTGACTGGTCGTGCAGGTCTAGCCCAAAACGACTGGCCGTGCAAGCCTCTCCGCCAAGGGCCTCACCAACCGAACGATGCAACTTTCAGCCCCGAGGATTGGGAACGAGGCGTGATTGGTTTTAGGAATCTCCCTCCTAGGTCGGAAAGCCGGCGGGCACCTCCACTTCGGCAACGATCCCCCCGTCTGACCCCCCGTCGAAAACAGACACTAGCACTGACAAGACTTGTACCAATGTGAACATTTTTGACCTACGACTCACAAACCGCGCCCTTTGACATGATGCCATGTACATTGGACGTGCATTCGTGCCATTGAGTGAGTCAAATGGGGACTGGCCTTGCCGAAGCCGCGTTTGCATTGGAAATCAACATCAGGCTCGTGATGTATAAAAGACGCGGCCCACGACCTCCTTCCCGGGGTCTTAGATCTAAACCGTATATTAGCAAGCAAATCAAGCACGACATTGAGTACATTACAAATCCATTGACGATACCTCAAAGAACCACCAAGTCAACGACCTCGCCGTTCTACTACTACTACTACTCCCCTTCCTCCACATGAGTTCCATCGAATCTCAGCAATACCTCAAGGCCATCCTCCGGGACAAGACAGACAACAGCAAGACAAGCGACAACAAGAACAACAGCAGCACGATGTCTGGCTCCTTCTACGAATCAGCTTTTGTGATCCCTCACATGCAGGCTTCTGCCATGCCTCGTAGGCCTCGCCAGCCTGCACCGGCACCGCGAGCAACTGTCGGCGCCATGTCCTCAGAGTCAACGCTCGTCGACAAGGACGGCGTTCCTGTGATGTCCAAGGAGAAGAACGAAGCCAACGGTGACATCTCTGGTAAGTTGTCTCACTTATTGCAGTCTACTCTTCTTCGAGTCTCCTATCTCATTACCTTCGGCCTCATATGGCCTACCGGTTACTCTGATCAGGAATGTCTGGCTTCGATAACTCAGGACCTAGTTCTCTAACGTAGACTTCTACAGGTTCATCATCGTCGAGCAAGAATCTACTCAAGCGTCTTTTGAAGAAAGCTTGAGTTATTTTTGCAGATACAAAAGACTCAATTGGTCAGACAATTCGCGCTCTACCGCGTCACATGGAACTTTGGAGCTCTGGGCTAGCGTCAGCCTCCTGCTGATCCTTCTACCCTATTACCACGACTACTGCAAATCACTCGAGCGCTCATACCCGTAACGGGCGCATGGCTGCAGTCTTACATCGGACCATATGCATACACGTTCTTGCCAAGCCTGGTGGTTTCCATCAGATGACCAGCCGCACTTGCGCTGTTACCAGGTTCATTTGGCCAATAGTACGACCATGCATTGATCCTGCACCGCGACTTAGTGCTCCTTCAAACACATACACTCTTTAATCATAATCCGACATCCAACTCGATGCAGCTGGGAGAGTACACGTTGGTTTGGGGGCGAGTCGGCTTAATATTGCCTCATTCTGTCTCTTACACTTTCGAAGCCGCGGAGGACAGGGTTGAGCTGAGTGTAACCAAACATTGCGGCTCTTGATGAACAATATGACCCTGGGAGATGAAAGTCAGCCTGGAATAAAGTTTTTGAGTCGGAAAGACCACAAGGGTTGGTTTGGCCTGAGCCTCCAAGGCCAGAGTTTTCACGCAACGCCTCGTAACCTTTGCGACTGCAACTTGTTTTCCATGGTAGTTTAGACTTCTACAAAATCAGAAAACAGATCCTGTTTATTCATTCAAACCCTATGAGGGTCACGAAATGTAAAAGTTTTGAGTTGCAGCACACAGTCCTGGTTGTCATTTACTCAGTGCCTTTGGCAAAACGCAGGTCAATCCCTTCAACAATCGCTTGAATGTCTGATCAGTCGTCCTAAACTTCTAGTCACGCCCATCATGATCTGCCGGACCATTCTTCTCCCTATGTTGTGCATGGCATCGCTTTTCAGCGTCGCACTTGCCCAAGCATCTCAACGTCCTTCTCTGGATAATGCAAGGGACCCCCTCAACTGGTGCGGCCAGGATGAGAAGGTTCATGCGATAGGAAGAGAGGATGACTTGGCCGCTCTTGAGGCATTCTCTAAGCGCTCCTTGAACACTGAACAAGCCTCGATTCACATACCTATCAATGTCTTTCTGGTCGGAACGGAAGAACAGCGAAGTTCGGTCAAATATGTAACTATCCCACCACCTTCTCATGAGAGGAAAACCCCACGACTTCAAGTCTTCCTGCGAACGAATATACTGACTTGGATTATTTATCTAGAAAATCGAAATCCGTCATATTGGGACCACTCTCAACGAAGGCTACGCCAAGCACGGCATCACCTTCGGCCCGATCGAGACATACGAGGTCGCCAACGACACATACGCCAACATGAACCACATGGAGCACCGGCATGACAAGACCCGGGAAATGCAGAGAGCGCTTCGCATCGGTGGACCTGAAACGTTGAACCTGTACATTGTGCCAAAATTGGATACAGGCCTCCTTGGATACGCCGCCTTTCCCGACTTATTGACAAATCCTTTCGGTATCGTGGGAGCAACAGGGACGTGGTTCGATGGAGACGCCGTCGTCATCGGCCACAGCGCTCTTGACGGCACTCTGTTTACAAAGGCCGTGATTCACGAAACGGGACACTGGCTGGGGCTCTACCACCCGTTCCAGGGCTCCTGCAAGATCCCCAACGGCGACTACATCCCGGACACGCCGCAGTCGCGGCACGAGAACTACGCGTGTAAGGCCAAGGACACGTGCCCTGAGTTCCCGGGCGAGGATCTGGTTTGGAATTATATGGCTTACTCGTCGTGGTGAGTTGAATCTTCCTGCGCACGTGATGAAACGGTGATGCTGATGGTGAATGCAGTGATAAGAACCTATCTTTCACCCCAGGCCAAGCGTAAGTGACAATCTACATCTCTATACCCCCAATCTTTGACTGAAACATTGTGTCGTAGCCTTTTCATGCGTCAGTCTTGGTACAGTTTCCGCGACCCCAAAACCAGAGACCTTCCCGCCGAATCGCGAGTCCCTTATCGAACGACACCTAACAAGGATATGATTGTCCGTTCAAGATTTGGAAATGCGTAGTTGTTCTGCGCGTCTCAACTTTGTGTGACAGGTTGAACAGCGTTTTTAGCCTGGAGGACCAGTCCCGACAAAATGGTGCGAAAAGGAAGTGTGCGGAACGGGCTGTAGTGTTGATGGATTGAAGGTTTCTTTAGCGAGCCTGGCTGTGAGTACATCAAGCAGAATTCAAACCTGAGAATGAGGCGTGGTCTGGTGTGAGGCTAGTCGAATTCAACTTCTGCTACTTGCTGCGCTTCTTTCCGTTCTTCACTTGGAACCTCATAATCACGGATACATCTGAGTTCGGTTACATGAGCCTTAGTCCGCGATGCCGTGCAGCCCCACTCCGGCTCCGGCCCAAATCCGCGGGCCGGAGCGACATCGGAGGTGGCCTCAAATTCACAATCGCTAGAACCATGCATGCCTTTTTTCTTCTTCCTTTTGTCAAGTGATGAGTTCCTGTTTGAGACCATTCCCGTTGCCTTTGGGTACGAATGAACTGTTGGCGGCATTCACTCAAACAATACAAACGTCGAACCGAGCCTGTATCTGGCTAGCGGGCCTATGCCTCCAAGTGGTAGACTTTGAGAGCTTACCACTTGGAGAGATGAAAGCGCCTAATTGTAATAAGACGATTCTCACGATGCTATATGCCTGGTCGGAGGGGCAATATTTCGCTGAGAGATGAGAGCTCAACTGAGCAGGCCTTACAGAAAATCGGCTTCAGTTGTAATCACCTGGAGGCTTTCGGTGTCAAACAGTTTCTTCACATGCCTTCGATACACTTTGAACTTCCCTTTCCGAGGTTACACTGAGGCTATCGCTGTACTTGAGCCAGGTCATTATTCAACATAAATGAACGAGAGGTAAACCAGCCAAACTGACATGTACGCCTTTTGGCTGGTTGTGGCCGTTGTGACTAGGATTTCCCGCAGTGGTAGGGCGTGGCTCTAACCAGACCTGGGTACTTGTTAACCCCGCTGTGGGATGTCCCACTCAGCCCCGCGAATCTGCTATGAGGCCCCCCACGTCAAGTCGAGTCTTTTTCAGCTTCACTTGCTTCTATTACTTCAGATAGCCATTTGTCACACTTCTCATAAGGACTCAGAAGTCCAGTTCTCGGCCGTACTCAGAAAGTTTGAGTGTTGGTGTCCTAGCTGAAACACAAGTCACCGAGCCACTCACTACTGCCATCTCATCTCACCACCCGAGAAACAGCCTTAATTTCATCTACAAACTTATCCTTCATTGTCACTCAATCACTTTCACCTGCGCGGCCTAACATGGCCGACCTCATTGTAACCCAACACGGGTCCGAAAAGGAAATCAAGTTCGCCTCCTCAACACCCGCCCAGCGTGAGGCCGCATGGCGCCTCAACGGCGTCTCATGGGCCCCTCCAATGTCCCTTGAGAACTACATGGCCCGCGAAGTCGCGCTCTCTAAGACGGCCCTTTCATCTCAGTGCAACTACTACGTCCTCTTCAACCCGGCCGACCCCGAACACATCATCTCATCCTGCGAAGCAACCGCGAAGACCCTCCTTGTCCGCGATGCCTCCTCTTCGACCCCCCGTGAGGAAAAGGCCTACGCCATCGCCTCCGTTTACACTAACCCGACCTACCGCAGCCACGGCATGGCAACGCGGCTACTGAACAGCCTAAAGGAAGCCATGGACGCCGACTCCAAAGCCAGCGCGCTCTACAGCGACATTGGTCTCACGTACTACGCCCGCCTCGGCTGGGCCGTCTACCCGTCACTCCAAGTCTCCCTCATCCCGGACGATGCTTCAGTCCTACGCAAGCCCGACGGTGTGCGATACCTCGAGGAAAGCGATGTCCCCGCCTACTGCGAAAAGGACGTCGAGCTCCTAAAGAAGAAGCTTGCGAACCTTCCGGAGGACGGAAAGACGCACGTCGCCTTCGCGCCCTCGGCCCACCAGATGCTCTGGCACTTTACGCGAGATGGCTTCATGGCCAAGCAGCTCGCCGGTCGCGAGATTACGCACCGCGGGGCGGCTACCGTTGACGGTAAGGCGTGGGTGTATTGGGACCACGACTTCCGCGAGAAGAAGCTCAAGGTCCTCCGCGTGGCTGGCGACCCGGAGGCCGACGTGACCGCGCTGCTGCAGGCTGCGGTGATTGAGGCCGCCGAATGGGGGCTCGCCAAGGTGCTGGTCTGGAACCCTGATGAGGGCGTCTCGGCTTCAGCCAAGAGGGTGAGTGACAGGACTGAGGGTGCCGTGCGGGTCGTCTTTGACGAGAGACTCGATGGCAGCATTCCCAGCCTGCGGTGGAAGGGCGAGGGTGAGGTCGTGTGGGAGGATAATGAGTATTATGCCTGGTGCTAGATGGCTATGGGAAAGCATATCATTGATGACCTCATTAAGTTGCGGTTTCTCCATAGATACTCAAGAGTTTTGGATGTCAACACAAAGACCATTCTACTCTTCCGTCTCTTGCAACGCCAGCGCTTTGATCAAACCGACAAATCCGATTTCAATGGCATTCGTCATTCCATCAGCGACCAACTCCTGATTTCCAGAAAACGAATCCTTCCACCGCCCGCCCTTACCAAAGTATACATCGACGAAAGGGAAAGACAAGCCTTTCGCGCTTTCCTTTCCTCCCGAGCCTTCATTGCGATAGTCTTCAAGCATCGCAGACGTTAGTTTCTCTACATTCTCACAAAACATCTCAGCCGTCCCTGGCTTTATGGCTTCTTGCACATCGACCCATATTGCCTCCCGCTGCGCAAACGTTAGTTGCGAGCCAAGCTCCTCGTCTTGCTCAAATACCAGCAAAGACAACTTGCCCTCGAGCCGCTTTTTCCTTTCGGGAGGGAGATGAATGTCGACAATGTCAATGTGCCGCTGGATCTGCTCTCGCATGCAGTTCATCGACCAGGTGGCCGCTGTCCACTTTCCGACCACAGTGACCCATCGTTCGATTTCAGTCTCTGAAAAGAACGACTGACTTCTGACCGGCGCTTCTCGGGCGGCTCTTTTCGCCGCGTCGTGTATCTTTTCTATGACTTGCGTGAGAGCAATACCAATGACGGCGTATCGTACTTCCCGCCAGACGGTCTCCCACAGAAGGCTCCGGATAGTGTCCGAAATCTTCCGCTCAGGATTTATTTCCAGTAGCAGCACGTGGTGCATCGCGTCCGTTGTCGTGAGTCGCGGGTGAACATCGTACTTGTCATCGAGATTTACGACATCATCCGTTCTTGCAAAGTTGTCATTGAAAGGATGGATGAGCGTCACATTGACAGGCGGCCCCTTCCAAATCTTCGCCATCCGTACAAATTTACCGACAATGGCAAACTCCTGCTTCCCGACGGATCCGATGGTGATGTAAATCATGCAACCTTCGAGAACCCTTGTAAGGTAAGAAAAGAAGTTCCAGAGGGACGCCACACTGTTGTTAGCCTCCTTGAACTGGTCCAAGTCGATCCCAGCGTCAATCATGACCTCTGTCTTCTGGACGAGGATCTGGTCCACGAGTGACGCTATCGCTGACTGTGCTGTCATCCCGCGCGTCCAGATCAAATACGCCGAAGGGACGTGCGACGCAAACTTGCGCTGCTGCTTCTTCCAAACCAATGCGTGCTGCGGATCCGGAGCGTCGCACTCTGCCTGTATAACTTTTGTCTCATGGGAATATCCCGACGGAACATATTTCTGCTCCATGCTGAACCATTCGATCCACGCTTTTGACGTGGTGACCTCGTATGTGGCTTGCAGCTCCTGGTGGAATCCGGCTTGGACTTCGAAATTCTTGAACAGATTCTTCCGTATCGCTTGGAAGAGTTCTGCTGTAGGGTTTTCGGCGACGGCTAGGACAAGTTAGCAGGATATCTCCGTTCCCACAACGTCACCTTACGTACATTTGAAAGCCTGGCGCATCGTATGCCTTTGAAGCGGCAGTACAGTCCGGTATCTATCTATGGCGTGGTTTACCATTGCCTGCCTGATATGGAAACATAGCTCTGCGTCCTCGCGGATGTCTCGTTGTGTCTTCTTCATCTTCGCCACTAGTTCTCCATATCTGATCTCAAAGGGTTGTAAAAAGGTCGTCATCGCGCGCTCTGTACTTTGGTAAGTAGTTGGAAAGTCATCTAAAGTACTTAGCTTGACAACTAACTGAGAGTACTTTTCTCTGCATTCTTCGCATCTCTTATGACCTTGTCCAGAAACTCAACGATCGCCGCATACAGTTCGGACGAGAACTCAAGCATTCGCGGAGTCGGGTACAGTGCAATGTACCCTCGTATCCTTTCCAGGTCCCGCCCAATGTCAATCATCACATCGATGACTTTGGAGAGAACGTTTGAGTTGTTCTTCGTCACCTATTTTTCCGGTGAACAGATGTCATCTGCAGAAAGTGGTGATCTCCTACCAGTAGTACAAACTTCAGACCGCCCCAGATCAACGGCAGACCTGAGAACTCTGCTTGTGACAGAATATCAAAGACTCCCTGGTAATGATCCAAGCACTCGATAAGTTTCTCCGTCTTTCCCTCCCCTAGCTTCGCCTCTCTAGTCCGTTGTATGTCCCAAGCAATCCGATGAAGATCTGCTTTGGGGTCACTCTGCTTGCTAACGGTACTCTGGGATAGAACTGCGGCAACTTCATCCTTATTGAGATGAGATTGAAGTGAATTTACGGCGTTTCTGTACGCTATCTCGGCTTTTCTGTGATGTCTCTCAGCCAGTACTCCTTGCCAAACCGCTGACAACAATGCAGTTCTTTCAACGGAAGAGCCCGAGTTTCCAACACATAGCCGCCTCCTCGGAGCAAACTTACGCGAATGTCATGCGATCAGCTCCTCCCTCGTCTTCTGTCGCATCGTCAGAGAAGCGCCGAAAGACCTCGTTATGGGGTTCCCAGCCGATCATTGGGCTCGATTTACTCTTCGGGCTCCCGTCATCGCGGCTCCAAGAAGGCGTCCGAAAAACGACGCTGGTGTTCAAGGAGGGAAATCGATACATGTCGCCGGAGCATGTCGGCAAAGCTTGAGAACCAGTTCCCAAAGGTAACGAAAGTTCTCCAAGAGGTTGATAGGCTAGCGGCGTACTGTGTATTTAGAACATTCATTGGCTGACTGCCTAGGATGCAATAGCTGAAATTCCATTGAGACTTTTGATCCTTTTGAAGATCACCAGTGAGAGACTCGATACGATGAACCCCTAGACCTCCTTTACACCGGAGTCAATAGTAGAGTACCACCACGACTATTCAGGGGGAACCTCGGAGACCTTGACAGGGCCCTCCGACTACATCTATTTCCCTCTGATTCACGTCTGCAGAACCTGGGGGATCACGAGACGAGGGTGATGAGACAGAAAGGAGAGGGTAAGCTTATAAAAATTGCTTGTTTTGTCAAGGCCGCCAATCAGTGTGAGCGCAGCTTCCGCGTTTTCCATGGTGGCGCCGGCTTGTGTCACGAACAGCAACCATGCCTTTTCGTGCTGAGGCCTCTGACCATGGACTATCGGCGGTCTGGGCGCAACAGGAGACACAATCTGAGGTCGTATTTCCAGCTGAGGGCTGATTGTGTTACCAACTACCATCATTCACGATAGGCTTTCCGAGGAAGACCTTGGAGACGAGCTCCAATGCCTACACTGAGACGTGTTTCTGACCTCGATTCTTTTCCCGACACGATACTAGTAAGAGGAATGTGACGCCATCTGCCACTATTCACGCAGCGCGCAAGGATGCCGATATTGTCGAGTATGGGATGGCTAAGTAAGCGGTTGACAAACTAGAATGCTGGTTAATGCGCCTCTTGGCTGTCAGCTTGCTCAAAACTACTACGATAGTTACGATCATCGTACTACGCTTTGAAAAGCGTAGTTCTCAATGAGTATGGAGACAACATGAACTTAAAATAGTAGTAATAGCAGTAGCAGTGATAGGAACGCTAAAAAGAGAGGTAAGGTATTGAGCAACAACCTAGTACCTATTGTGTAGGTATCCCACTTTCTCAGCTCTCCAGCCACACGACTTCGAGCTACCGCCCGATGCGAATGGGGGGCACGTCCCAGCTGTGCCGACCCCAAGAGGTGGTAGATGCCCTCTGCGGTCTTAACCTGGGGATCACAGAGCTGGTTTATTGAATGCAGAGAATAGACTAGCGCATATTCCAGCCGTGACAGACTTGACGAAGCAGCGGCTTCTGCCGTCGAACTAGTATTGGCTTTCTTATGCTAGCAGAGAGGCCCGAAGGCGAGGAACGAAGTCAACAGTGAGAGCCAAGTGCTCTGGGTACAAATTTACGCCAGTGATGCTATAAGGTATGTAGAGATCGTGCCTAGTAGGCGATGCTCACTACGTCGAAAGGCACGCTCAGGTAAGAGAGGCAGATGGACAGAAGTCATAGACTAAGGTGCCCAAGATTGGCCGCGAGTTCGAGGAGAACCCCGGGAATAGAGCTCATTTTAGCCTGTACACCAAGTGGGTCGTGCGGACCGGAGCCACGCCGTGCTCGGCCCCGTTTCCAGACTGACGGGCCAGTGACAGGCCGAGTGATGGACCCTGAAAACGGGGGATGCAGCAAAGCGGAGCGCCACGTGACTCTATCGCTGCGATAAGCTAATGTTGCCATCAAGGTGGTCCGTCACAGGGGTTCGAGTCCCGGTTGCGATTTTGGGATCCAAAGAAATTAAGTGGAAGAATTGTTCGGCTCGGCGTTTACTTCAAGCAAGAAAGGTTACGTCTCACAAACATCACGGGTCCATGACCTAGGAACGATCTATACTTCGCCTTTTGCCCTCCGGCACCTCCCGTCAAACCATGTCGATACGCCGTCCCAGCGCAAGGTCCCGGGCGGACCGCGACAACACGAGTCTCCTTGCCCCCGATACGTATGACGACGACGCCTCATCCATCCACAGCACGCGAAGCGACCAGGACAGCGACAGTGACGATGACCAATTGCAATTGCGTGCGCGGAACAGCCGCGAGCTGCGTGCCGCCGACAGTCTAGTCTTTATGGAAGAAGAGGAGATCGAGAATCTTGTAGAGGAAACACGCAAGAAAAAGGAGCTGCAACGCCGAGGATCTGGCCTCGCTGTCCCGAATCCCCTGAAGCTATTTGGTCGAGGCCCAGACGGCCAACGGCCCGGATCCAGAGATGGCTCATCCGAAAATCTCCTTGATGAAAAGGACAGACGCCAACAGCGACGTATGAGGAGGAAACAGAAGAAGGACCGGCTGCTGGAGAAGGCGACCCACGGCGAGGACGGCGAGCTGATGTACGAGATGGAAGAAGGGGCCATGAAGGAGGGGAGCTCGACCGGGGAAAGCAGCGAAAGGGACGATAGCGACGAACTCGATCGACAGAGACTCAAGATTGTGACCAATGCGAAGACCGATAAGAGGAGGACTTGGCGCCGTTGGCTGCTCATACACAGCATGATTGCCGTCGGTTTCGCGATCCTGTTTCTGGTGGCGTGGAAGTTGTCAATCGGCAGTAGGTCAGCACACAAGGCCGAGTTCGTCAGCAATGGCACGGCGCTCTTCGCGCCGACGACGATCATTATCAGTCTTGACGGCTTCCGCGCCGATTTTCTGCAGCGCGGGATCACACCGAGATTGAACGCTTTCGTAAAGGAGGGTGTTTCGCCAAAGTACATGCTCCCGGCTTTCCCGTCCGTCACATTCCCGAATCACTACACGCTGGCGACTGGCCTTCACCCCGAGAGTCACGGTATCGTTGGAAACACTTTCTGGGATCCGGAGATGCAGGCCGAGTTCTACTATACCGACCCAGCACGCAGTCTCGATGCGAAGTGGTGGAGTGGAGAGCCGTTTTGGGTGACAGCCGAGAGGCAGGGTATTCGTTCCGCGATCCACATGTGGCCGGGCAGTGAAGCGCACATCCTCGGTGTTGAGCCAACATTCCTCGACAAGTTCAATGGCAAAGAAGTACTAGACAACAAGGTCAGCAGGATCCTCGAGTTTCTTGACAAGCCGGGCATGGAAGACAAGACTGCCAAGGTCGAAGACATGCGCCCACAGCTCATCGCTGCCTATGTGCCCAACGTCGACGCGGACGGCCATAGATACGGACCGAACAGCACGGAGATCCGGGTTTCCATCGAGTCGGCCGATGCTATGATGGATCAGCTCTTCCTGGCTCTTGAGCAGCGCAACCTTACCAACATTGTCAACGTCATTGTCGTATCCGATCACGGCATGGCCACAACAGATACGGCGCGCCTGCTTCAGCTTGAGGACCTCGTTGACACCTCCAAGATTGAGCATACCGACGGCTGGCCGCTATACGGTCTTCGACCGAAGAACCCAGATGACCTTCAGGGGCTATATGATGGCTTGGTCGAGAAGTCCAAGACGAATCCCAACTTTGAGGTCTACCTCCGCGACGTCAACATGCCCGAGCGCTACCACTTTTCCAAGAACAAGCGTATTGCACCCCTGTGGATCGTTCCCAAGGCTGGATGGGCTATTGTCACAAAAGAAGAGATGGATGTGGAAAAGGCGCTGAAGGATGGTACGGTCTACAACCCCCGCGGATTGCATGGATACGATCACGAGCATCCCCTCATGCGCGCCATCTTCATCGCCCGCGGACCGGCTTTCCCGCATCCGCCAAACAGCCAGATCGACAACTTTCGTAAGTGTGACCCGCAAGTGTCGTGTCATACTATGAGCTCGGACTAACGTCAGTAGAAAACATCAACGTGTACAACATCCTTTGCGATTCCGTCGGTCTTATTCCAGAGCCCAACAACGGCACTCTGCGCCTGCCGCTCACCACTATGGGTACTCACAAGTCCGAGGACACGCCCCCAGAGCCCGAGGACCCTGTGCCCCCGTACACCACCACCCAGGTCCCCGCTTCTGCCAGCACACCACTAGCGGGACAATCGGCTACCCCTGATAAGTCCATTCAGGTGGACCCCGTTCCCCAGCCAACGCCTTCCGGGCCGGCGTCAAACGATGACGAGAAAGGAGATGATGAAGAGAGCGATGGAGCCGATGAAGACGCCATGCAGAAGGGCAAGGAAGCCATGATTGGAGTTTGGGATTGGCTCAAGGATAAGTTTGGAAAGGTTTGGGACAAGATCAAGGGATCCAAGGGGGATAAGGAATCGAAAGAGAAGGATGGATCGGAATGATTTCCTGTGTAGATTTGGGTACATGATTTGGCGTTCACGGGTGAGAGGCATATTGTGGTTTTTCTTTGATACTCCCGGCGATTTTCTGTATTTTCTATAGACTGAAATCCCCAAGGTTGCTTTTTCTTGATCGCTGGAACTAACCTTTGTTCCTTCTCAATTGACCTGCTTCGCCTGTTGGTAGCTACCGCTGGGAAAGCCTCGGTGCTCACTCAACTCTCTCGCCACCAATGTCAATCCCAGGCGCAAGAGCCGGAGCCTCCAGTATGCAATCACGTGAACCAGCCCGAAATATGAATCCATCAGTAGTATAGGTCTCCACGAGAAAGTCCATGCTCAGGGTGCATCATGTAGCAGACTCTAGTTCATCTGACTCGCTCTTCGCTTTCCCAAGTGACGGTTGTTGACGCAGTTATCGGCCTTCTCATAGCCGTAGTCCACATAGCTGCTCTGGATAGTGTAAAGTGGCGGTGCTGCTTTGAAGCCATGTTGAGCACTGAGGGTGGCTACTTTGACCTTGATCAAACCCGTCAGGGTGGTGCTAAGTTCGTCGCATACGAGCATGTCGTTCTTTCTAAAGGCCTTTGTGGGATTCACCTGTCTTGCCTGGTCGGATTCGCCATTGTTGAATCCCCAATCTTTGATGACGCGGAGTCCGGCTCGAAGAAATTTGTACGGAATCTCGACTTTGGAATGATCGCCAGGAAACATCTCGACGAGTCCTTCCGATGTCGATTTGAGGGGTGTGATGATGGCCCACTCATTGCCATCATGCCCATCGATCTTCTTACTAATATGAAGCCAAGCCCTGGTGTCCTTCTTGAGTTCTCGAAAGGGCTGAGTGCTCGGATGGAACAGAAAGGCGAGGGATGATTTTTCTAGTGTCCAGTCCTCCGTCAGCTGGACGGCGACGGCTCTTTCGGTAGCCATGGTGACAGTCGATTTTCAGCTTCGATTTGAGGCGGCTATAGGCTGGTTAGGCTGTGGTGACGAAATAAAGACACTGCAAATTTACCTGTTCGAAAGTATTGGGAAAGCAGACTGATTCTTTCGCAGTTGCTGTTCTTGGCGAGTGAAGTGGGTGGGAGAACCAGAAAGTTGACAGTTTAGAAAAGAGGTTTCCTTTCTGCTACCCGGCAAGATGGATGCGGAGGAAGGAGCTTGAAGTTTTTTGAAACACTGATAATACTGAAGTGTTTCTCAAAAGACCGCGCGGGCAAGGTTCAAAGTGAAGGATAGGGTGAAATTGATAGAATTACGAAGCTGACGGAGACCACATCACGATGTATATTCCAGACATTCGTCGGTGTAGTATTCAGTAGGGAATCTTTAGTGAAGGACATCTATCTTACTCCCCATCCGTATCATCCACGTGTACGCTGCTTGATCACTCCGAAAGGCTTCTGGTTACCCCCAATCCAGCGCAGCTTTCTCTCTCGGTCTTGGCTCTGGTTGAGTCTCGGAATGCAGACTAGGCAATGGTACAAATCTAGCAGTATATGTCAGAACTAAACTCTACCCATGTCTAAGAATCAATATCACTTACCGAGAATGTCAACACTGACGCACAGTCAAGCGTTGAACTATTTCTTGACAGCAACAGGACCGGTCATCTGCAAGCCATACTCGACAAAGTCGCGAGGAATAGCTTGCTCGATACCAAAAGCCCTATAGCCCGAATATTTACCGGTGCTAGGTAAAGCTTCTTGATCACGTTGATATCGGACACGTCGATGGCAAAGTGGTCGCAAACAGCTATATCGTCGGCCTTGGAAGACTCCTTCTCAGTCTGAGTGGTATTGGTGCTAGTCTTAGTGCTAGTCTTAAGCATGATGGGCGTCATGCTGTCAAACTCCGGAACACCTGGTCCATAGTCCTTGACAACTCGAATGCCGATGCGGAGGAATGGGGTGGGGACGTCGACCCTCGCGTCGACCCTGGGGAGTATGTAGGCGAGGCCAGTCTCGGGCTGCTGAATAGGCCGGATGGTGATGAGGGAGCTGTCAGATAGACCTCGCGGCTTCTGACTTAAGGCGACAGGGGCCTTGGTGCCTGCGGCAAGACTACGAAAGGGCCTTGTGGTCGGGTGGACGAGGAAGGCGAAACTAGCACTGTATTCGGTCCATTCTTCCTTGGGCCGAACTGTTACTCGAGGAGCGATGTTCGAGGTGCTTCCTGGATGCTTCGCGATAGGAGTTTGTTCAGGAGGAGGCTCGAAGGAGGAGGACGACATCCCCAATGTGTTGTTGGCATTGGTGAACGCATCCAGGGGAAGTTCTGTCGGCGGGGGACCATATCTTCAGCGTATTGGATTAAATATGAGACGAGAGCGCTCGCGAATGACTGTAGTGACTATGACCGAAAGAAGCGTGGGAGATTAGAACCAGATCTAGCTTTGGAGATTTCAGATCTAGTACTTATGGGAGGAGCTCTACGGTTGCCTTACAGGCAGTCTCGTACGGAGGAGAAGCAGTGTCTCTTACGTTGCCTTGAGTGTCTTGGCAGATGAAAGAAAGCCGATTTATCAAAGACCACAAAAAAAGAGTTCACCACCGATGTGGCTACATCTCTTGGTGCTCATGCTGGGATTCCAACTCCGGTACTCGCTAAGCCTGTTCTCGAGTAGGCTGGTTGGCGTATAATTGATTGTCGACTTTAGTGACCTGAACCGTCGGCCTAGACGGGCGCCTGCTGGCTGGTGACGGGAATGGGTTTGAGGGGGGCTATGAAGGCTTCTTCCTATGTGTACTCCATTGAAGGTGGTGGAGGTAGGGTGTCACGTGTGGAAAGTTCGGTGGTGCCTTGCGATCGAGGTCAGTCGAAGCCTGGATGTAAGGCAACAAGGGCCCTGAGTGAGGCTCGACTGACTTCGATGTGAGCGTAGTCGAAGCTACTCCCGGCTGTCGCCTTTGACCGCCACTCGCAGAAGACTAGAGAAAAGCAGCAGCGTCCTACGAAACAGAGACACTATGGCCAGGCCTTTAACACATTGCAAACGCCCTTGATATTCAAATCTGAGAATAATACAACATGGCTCAATCATGTCTTGCAGGGAAGTGTAGTTTCACTGGTCATAAGTTCCTGGGAATTGTAACTATACCTCAAACTGGTACTACAGAATGAGGGACCCTCGAAGCCTGGGATTCTGTTGATACGTCCTGCTCCGGAAGCCATAAGAGAAATTTCCTGCCTGGCCTGCGAATGTTTTGTTACAACTTCGCTTCTCTTGCCCCTCGAACATCCCATAGAACATTCAGTCATTATCGACTATATCGCCGTTAGCTTGCTGATCTGATTCATCAGCCCGAGAGCGCAACTAACCAAAACAGACGCAAACTAATGCCGTCCCCAGTTCCAAACATTCCGGGGTGAGATCAAAGTTTTGGGCCAAAGGTTCGATTTTTTGGGCCGGGTGGCAGCCCATACCTCACAAGGCTATAAGGAATAAGACAGTGTTTTCTCTGTCCATCGACAGTCCAGCCTGCGCCATGGACCCTGAGAATCATGGGAGGGTGCATGGAGAAGTCCTCGTGCGTGGCTATATCGCCCTTCAAGAAGATGCCTACTTCTCCAGGAGGATATCGGGCAGCTAGAGCATCGTATTCAGGCACTCTAGGCACGAAATCTCGAAGGATAAAGACTTCAGCGCTGAGATGGGAGACAGGAATCTCGACCAGGCGCTCATCATACGGGTGTTCGTAGCCCTCCAAGGAATCCCAATGAATACTCCCGCTTCCATTTGCATCCAAGAGAACCGGTAGAGACGGATAATAGAGTGCGATGTAGACCCATTCGCGATAGTCACCGGCTTTCCGGAAGGACTCTTGTCTTGGAAGCCAGGCAATGGCGTCTTTTTGCAGAACAATGAGTTCTGGAAAGAAAAGGCGACCTGAGCCGTCAAATTCGTACCTTTTGCGAATCCGACTGATGGGAGTCCAGTCGCGCTTCAGGACCACAACGATACCCGAGGGGAACCCCATGGCGTTGTGTGAGATAAAGTGTTGCTTGGTGTGTTTCGGGAGGAATTGTTCAAAAGCCTCAAGTATCGAGTGATCATACGCAAGCTGCTTGAATGTAAAGCCGTTCAGGAATTAGAAGATGCGGGTAGGCAGAGGTGATGTTGTTTACAGGTAGAATACGTGTCATCGTTGGATTTGTTGTTGTTTCGTGAAAATGGATTTACTGGGGAGAGGATACGCAGCAAGTCTTTCCAGAGCGTTTCAAATTCAGTACTGGAAGTGACGTTAAGAAAAGGGGCGCTTTCCCATCAATACTCTTGATATGTGACTGGTCAGGAACGACGAAGCATCTGCTTCGACCTCCTGCCTCTTGCTTCTGCTAGAACACCAGAGGCAGCAGCCATCAAAGCATTCTTTCCGAAGCACTTTCCTTAAAAGACCCTGTTGGTTTTGACGACTTTACCAAACTGCAACATTGTATTATCTATTAGAGGATGCTTCACGATGTTACTCTTAAAGGTAGACCAAGCTCCTATAGTCGTTTATGACTATGCAGACTAGACTAGCGAGCTGATAATAATGTACAGGACCCTTGAAGCATCGTACTTGCCCACACGACATGTACACCGTCAATGGTTCAAGTACGGCTTTAGATAGCCTAGAGCCGTCACCTCAGACTGCCTCTTCCCTGAGCAGGTTCAAATACCGGCTGCGGAAGTTTCTTTCTGATGAAGCTGTGATGAGGTGTATTACCCTGTACTTATGGAACAGTCTGATTAGCCTGGATAACACAATACAATCGATTGATAGTGCTCGATGCCAAGACCTTAGGCAGCTGGTACCGGTTTGACTGGGAAAGAGACTATTCAGAGCAACAGAATAAAAACGGTGTGGTTGGGCTCATAAATTGGACCTCAGGTAGAATCCGTAAACAAGTGCTCTGGCTGTTATATGTCAGAGCAATTGTGCCGGCTAATTGATCTCCAATGGCTACTCTCAGCACGCCTGATTGCGTTGTGTGTAATCACCGGATACTGGAAACCGCAGGAGAAATCGGTTTGATGTCTGAATAAGCTAATAGTTTTGCTGAAATCCTCGTGGGATTATCTAGCTTCTGAGGTGTGGTTGAAGATGGAAGAAGTAGTCACTTGCTAACTCGCAGGAATCCCTGTCCTGATAAGATGGTGGATAGGCCAAACAGGAGCTGGGCGAGAGGCTCTGGGTAGGGTAAAAAGCCTGGTTGGGAGTTCTCACAAGTATTCCGGTTGGCTGTGCTGAGGGGGAAGATAAAGTCCAAAAAAATAACACGTCCTTTCATCGTTCATCTGCCACCCTATGAACTGGAAACCTCCATCTCTTGCACCCACACTCTATCCCATATTCCGACGTCAAATCTCTCCACCACTGTCTTCCACTAATTTGACCTCATCCCAAGGTAATCCTGCTACGCAAGCGTGGCGGAAATTGGAGAGAATGAAAGTATAGCCCACGGCAGCATTTGCGCGTGTCAGTGAGGGATAGATGTCCTCAAATGGAATACCGACTCTATCTGCTTCCGATATAACTTCATGCCTGGAAAGCTTTCTCGCAACGAAAGCAGAGGGTGCAGCCACTCGGGGGTCTAAACACCCCAAAGATGCAAACCCCGTGATAATGTTATGTATCATCTCGTGAATTCTCGAGATCGGTCGACGTGGTACGTTCGTGTTTCAACTTGCCCTCGATGAAGTAAACATACGAGTGACAGAGGCAAACCGTCGTATTCGGAGAACCGAAGAAAGCCGGTAGTAGTTAGAATTTTCCATGTCTAGCAAAGCTCTGTAGGGAGTTATCGATAGGATCAGGGCTTAATGGTATCGCTTGGGGTAGACTGCGTCGAAATTGTCGTTCCTCGATTGGTCCCAAACTTGCCAAGTCAATTCCTGTCATGTTAGTCCAATGGAAATGGGATAGGAGTGATCTTCGCAGTAGAGCAACTTTCAAACCTGCGAAACACCTTACGACTCGCTGGCGAAGTGTCGTCGCCTGCCCCGCGGGTCTTCGTCGGATGACGTTGAGGGTGGTCATGTGACTTGCTCATCGGCCTGGTGGGGCCGGCGGTTTCCGACGCCGTCCGTCGCCACCGCCCTCTTTTCTGTTCCCAATTAGGAATTGTTGGAAAATGGCCAGCAGGGGCCGTAACAAAGATGCTCATCAACTTAGCCAAACCGCCGTGGGATATGGGCTGGTTTAAACATCATTCATGAAGGATGGAAGAGCTTTGTCACGTGACGCTAGATTTTTTTGTGTCTCGGAGTTCAGCCCCTCTTATTGCAAGCGCAAAAAAGCATGGAGGGGCATGGCATGGAATACCCCTCATTCTGCTCTCGTTTTTTTTTTTTCTTTCTCTTTGTGGCTCGGCGGCGCTTCGTGTGAGAGAGGGGTCTTGCGCATGGGCTGGGGCGGGCGATCGCACTCGTCTTGGTCTTGTTTGGTCCTGGCGCCCCCCCTCCTACGTGTCACTGCACCGCGTTGTCCGTTTATGCTGCTGCTGCTGCGAAATCTGGTCGGATGCCCGATAGATTCTCACTTTATTTCGGGAGAGAGACGCCAACGCGATGGCAAATATGCATGCAGCCGCGATACTACCTAGCTGTCCTGGAAATATCGCTCTGGGAGAACGCGAGAGGATGAGGATAATTGTCCCTTGACGGGCGGCGCAGGCGCTTAGAACGGGTTGTTTAGGTACCTTTCACCTGCACGTCACCCTTGAGGCCAGGATCTGTCGGACACCCATGTCTGTACACTTTTTTTTTTTTTTTTTTTGCCTCTTGTCTTTCTGAGATCAGATTTTTTTCAACCCCGCACCCCGTCAGAAAGCCGCATCAGCCACATTTCTTTTCGGAGTTAATGCACCGACCATTTGTGTGTGAGAGAGAAGAAGATATGGATGGGCCCGCTTGGGTTGGCATCCCCTTGACCGATGAAAGAATAAGCAACACAAGGAGGATTTACAATGCCCCTCGATGGTCGATAATTCCTACGGAAACCAAAGGCAGACAAGGACCAGCCCCACGGAGGAGCCTTGGTTTTGAGGTGGGATGGACCATGGCGACGGCGACGGCGACCACGGCCCCAAACCAAAATGCTACGAGGAGGGGCCCCGAGCACCTGTGTCACCAAAAAGGTATGCAGGAGAAGGCTGTACCTAGCTGTGCCAGAGGGAAAACTGCCAGATACGTGACTCATGCCGAACGATTGGGTTGGGCACACACTCTGACGGTCTGACGGTCCAAGAGAGAGAAAAAAAAAAACCTGGGCTTCGTCGAGGGGCAAGGAGGGGCCCAGGTTGGGCTGCGCGACAACCTACCTTGTGTGTCTGACAGGGATTGGGCGGGGTGGAGGGGCAGACCGCAGAGTTCGAAGCTGTGGATGTCTTATCGTTGGCAAAGTAGATCGAGGTCACTCGGAACAAAGCGCTCCCTCTGGTGAAAATTTTTGTGTGTGTGTGCCAAACGGCGCTGTGTGTCTGTCTGTGTCTGGCCGGTGAGATATGCGTGTGGATGGGACGAAAAGAGAGAGGCACCTCTCACTTGAGACGCGGCCGATGGTCTGCTTTAAGGTGGACTCCGACGATGAAAAAAAGATGAAGTGGCCCGACAACGAGGGGAAAGACTCAGGCAGGTCCATATTGCCCCTCCTTGCCTTCCCAAAGAGAAGGCGGCTAGCTAGTGCCCGAGGGAAAATTTGATCGTGATGAATGCGTTTGTTATTGTTCATTACTTTAGCTGGGCTGGCGATTCGACGAATTGACATCACTGGGATCTGCAACAATGAGGCCTGGAGCTTCCACGGTGGGGTCGATAGGCCAGGATCGTTTGCAGCGCCCCCCGCGACACAGAGAGCGCGGTGAGAGCTGCAGAGTGCCCCTCCATGCCCCCTTACCTGTGACATCAACATGCCATCCATCCTGTTGCCTCAACGCCTGGGACAGCAACAAGAGCTGGATAAATGTAGAATATGCTCTTATGAAGTCTTAAGACAATGAAACAAAGTCAAGAATAGCGATTCTGTTGGTAGGAATGAATATCAGAAATCGTCTAGTCAGCTGGAACGATATAATCATGGATAGCGACGATGAGCTTTACCGCCCGTCGCATGCCTTAGGCGCAGGAAGGAGAGGCTAAAGGAGGGGTGATACGATACGTACCTGCCTGGAGCGGCCCCGCTTAGTTCGTGCCGTGGCGAGACTGAACCAAGGTACAATGCGCTACTTGTCCGTGAGCCACGATCTGCTAAGAAGCCATCTACTATGTACAGTTGGAATAAACAACAACCACCCAACCAACCACAAAAAAACTGAGCCTGTGAGTGAAAAATTCTACCTTAGGGCAATTCGTTCAGGCAAGAGCCTTTGACCCCACCTTCCTGCCTTTCCATCCCTGCAGACTTTGGCGGACTAGCCCACTCCCCCTCCCACCTCTACTCAACCCACTTCGACCCTCTCACACTCCCACTCCACCACCCAACTTTTCCACTCACAAACATACAAAAGCCTCGCTCGCCCACCAAAGCAAAGCTTTTCCCTCCTTCTTCTGCTCTTCGTCGTACATACCGAATCCAAATTTACGGATCACCTGTGCAGTAAGTATTCATCTTGCCTCACTCACCCACTCCTTCCATACATCAACCACATCATCGCGAGAATCATCGCTGACTCGACGCCTTTGCAGCTTTTACCTTTCAAACACACAACTCGATCACATCCCACCGCCAAAATGGGTAAGGAAGAGAAGAACCACATCAACGTCGTCGTTATCGGCCACGTCGATTCCGGCAAGTCGACCACCACTGGTCACTTGATCTACCAGTGCGGTGGTATCGACAAGCGTACCATCGAGAAGTTCGAGAAGGAGGCTGCCGAGCTCGTTAGTAACACCTTGTCCAATGGTGTCATTTTTTGGTTTGCTAACTCCCTCATAGGGCAAGGGTTCCTTCAAGTACGCGTGGGTTCTTGACAAGCTCAAGGCCGAGCGTGAGCGTGGTATCACCATCGACATTGCCCTCTGGAAGTTCGAGACTCCCAAGTACTATGTCACCGTCATTGGTAAGTTCAACTTGAACATAATATCTCTCATTTCGAGGAGCGCATGCCGTTCTTCGATGAGCGAGATCAAGTTTAATTTTTCGCCTTCAGTCGCTAACCTCGACTAAATAGACGCTCCCGGTCACCGTGATTTCATCAAGAACATGATCACCGGTACCTCCCAGGCCGACTGCGCTATTCTCATTATCGCTGCCGGTGTTGGTGAGTTCGAGGCTGGTATCTCCAAGGATGGCCAGACCCGTGAGCACGCTCTGCTCGCCTACACCCTCGGTGTCAAGCAGCTCATCGTCGCCATCAACAAGATGGACACCACCAAGTGGTCCGAGGCCCGTTACGAGGAGATCATCAAGGAGACCTCCGGTTTCATCAAGAAGGTCGGCTACAACCCCAAGACCGTTGCCTTCGTCCCCATCTCCGGCTTCCACGGCGACAACATGCTTGCCCCCACCACCAACGCTCCCTGGTACAAGGGCTGGGAGAAGGAGACCAAGGCTGGCAAGTCCACCGGCAAGACCCTCCTTGAGGCCATTGACGCCATCGACACCCCCAAGCGTCCCACCGACAAGCCCCTCCGTCTTCCCCTCCAGGATGTCTACAAGATCGGTGGTATTGGAACAGTGCCCGTCGGCCGTATCGAGACTGGTGTCCTCAAGCCCGGCATGGTCGTCACCTTCGCCCCTGCCAACGTCACCACTGAAGTCAAGTCCGTCGAGATGCACCACGAGCAGCTTACTGAGGGTCTCCCCGGTGACAACGTTGGTTTCAACGTGAAGAACGTCTCCGTCAAGGATATCCGCCGTGGCAACGTCGCCGGTGACTCCAAGAACGACCCCCCTCTGGGTGCCGCTTCCTTCAACGCCCAGGTCATCGTCCTTAACCACCCCGGTCAGGTCGGTGCTGGATACGCCCCGGTTCTCGACTGCCACACTGCCCACATTGCCTGCAAGTTCTCCGAGATCCTCGAGAAGATTGACAGACGTACCGGCAAGTCTGTTGAGAACAACCCCAAGTTCATCAAGTCTGGTGACGCCGCCATCGTCAAGATGGTTCCCTCCAAGCCCATGTGCGTTGAGGCCTTCACCGACTACCCCCCTCTGGGACGTTTCGCCGTCCGTGACATGCGCCAGACTGTCGCCGTCGGTGTCATCAAGTCCGTCGAGAAGTCCGCTGGCAACGCTGGCAAGGTACGCTCATCCAACCCATCTTACTCTCATCTCTCTTCATCAACTAACATCATCATCACCAGGTCACCAAGTCCGCTGCTAAGGCTGGCAAGAAATAAGCGATCTAACTCACCAGGGTTGGTTGCTGAGTTCGCCCACGGCCTCGCTGTGGCTCACTCACTTCTACGGCTTTACGAATTCCCTTTGCGTGGCATGAGGACATTATGATATGGCGGAAAGCACGAATATCGAGAGGAAGGTTGGACCGGATGATTCTACGTCAAAAAAGCTTCTCATGATACGTGCCTAGTAGCACAAAAATAGAGTCCTAGAAGTGATTCCCAAGTTAAAAAAAAACAACGTTCCAAAATGCTGTGACATGAGGTTCTCGTGATGTAATCTTTATAGCTCTAAGTAACCTCTAATCAGAGACGGGTCCCATGCAGTTAAAGTGCCTGACTGATCATGGCAAGTCTATTCTCCTGTCGTGGTGCCAGTGAGGCTTTCCACCGTGTACTTAGCCCAAGTATGGCGGCCCGGTCCCGAGGCTTTCGTTTGCTTCTCCGCATGCCACCGTGATACTGTGGACCTGAATATGGGCCTTGCCTGTCCCACCATAAATGCTGAACGATGCTCACTTCAATCATTGTCTTTATCTGTTCTGAGCCGCAACTCTCTCGAGTCACTGATGCCTTCACTGGGCAATACTGAGTAGTTAGGCTGACAGAAAAGTTTCAAGGCGAGCTTCTGCCTCCCAAAGCTAATTACTGATACTCAGAAAGGAAGGCATTCGCGCCTTCACCTTCCCCAAAGACCGCCCTCACCGCGTCTTTAGTAAACTGTGCCTAACTTTCGGTCATACAAGCTTCAAGTGATTAGGCTTTTTATACATCAGCGATAGTACAGTTGATCTACAATTATTTGGTACATGATTTTACAAGTCATCCTTTTTTGGCGTCTCAGCCTCGCCGCCCACAGAAGTCTCAGTCTCAACGTCCTCGTTGGCCGATGCTTCAACATTGTTGTCCACAGGAGTCTCAGCTTTCCCATCCTCTGCCGCTGTCCCCTCTGCAGCTTCTAGCCGCTCCGCAGGAATATCAAGCTCACTCTCACCAACAGTCTGCTCCTCTCCAGCCTCCGCAACCTCAATCTCCTCGACTGCCGCCGCTGTCGTGCCTTCAACTTCCTTGAATTCTCTCGCAAGATCCCTCTCTCCGATCCACTTCACAACACCGCCTCTCACAAAGTCCTCCGCGATATCGAGGTACTTCCTCGCGTAGGCCTTCTGTTCGTATTTTGACAAGCTCGCGTCGGCAGGTGGTGGCACAGCCTCAAAGTTCATCTGAGAGCGGCGACCGCCGTGCAGACCGGCCTCGATACTCGCCAACTGGATCTTGTGACCCTCGTAGCCCACCTCGAGAGTCCTGCGCATCTCGAGACCGGCAAACATGTACTTTACGGGCCCGGATACGCTGCCGTCATCCTTGGCGAAGGGAAGACCCGACAGCTCGACCTCGGGCGGCGGGCGCAGGCGTCCTTCGAGGAGATCCAGCTTCGCGGCCTCAATGTACTCGCGGAACGCAGACGTATTGAGGGCCTCTGGTGACATGGTGGACACCAACGGCTGCGAGAGCCGCAGGTCGACGGGTTCGGAGGGGTACGCGACGTCGGTAAAGGTCTGGCTAAGGGTAGCGACGAGGCGCTTAGGAGTGGCGTCCCACGCCAGGGGGCCTTCGGGTAGGTCGTCCGGAACGGTCAGGTGGAGTTCAAGGAGGTCGGGAAGGTCGTGGGCCGTTTCCGTGGCCATGGAGGGGTGAGGCCGGAAATGGAGGAGGAGGGTAGTTATGATGGGGGTTTCCGGATTCGCAGAGGTGACTGACTCCACGATGGGTGTGAGACCTGCGGGAGGCGGAGAGCTAGGTGAGAAGATGTGGTTCTTGGTTTTGGCTGCCTTGGCGATTGAGAAACTTCCTTCATCATACTTGTGGAGTATTTGGCCAAAGGAAGCGGTTGTCGAGACGTACGGCTTGCTCCAAGGAGCATCTGAATCCAGAGCCGGGGCCTCGGTGGTCAGAGGCAAAGGCAAAACATCGCCCTCCGTGATGGTGAACGCCTTGTCGGTTGAATTTTCTCGGCCGGCTTGCTTCACCCATCGAGACCACTGTGTAAGCCTCTCCTTCCACGAGAGCTTCTCGTTGCCGCGAGGCTCGGCGACAAGTCTTGCCTTCTTCACATTGGACTCATGTTTCAGGGCGATGGACTGTTCTCTCGGGAAGAGGGCGGAATGTAGCAGACGCTGAACAATATGGCCCAGTTGTTCACCCGTTTCGTCTTGGTCTACCTGTTCGCCAAAGGCGACTTCAGTGTTCCCGTGTTTGATCCACGACACCTCAATCTGCTCGGCTGTTAGTTGTAGCCATAACTGCAATACGACGAGTTGGACGCACCTCTTTACGCTTTTTACGGTCGATGAAAGTATTGGTGAGCTGACCCAAGTTCCAGAGTAACTTCCCGTCGAACTCGCTATTAGCAAGCCAATCGGCTTTGAAGTTCTTCACAATGATGGATTTGGTAGCTTCGTCCAGCCTCTGAAGAATTGCCTGTGTCTTGGCCTTGGTGGCGTTAATCTTTAATATCGAATCCGAGATGTCAATGGTTTCGCCTGGATCGAGATAAGCCTCCCTGATGGCATCCAGTCGCTGTTCTTGGTCTATTTGCATGTTAGACAGCACTGCCGTAGCTGGGTCGCATTACTCACTCGTAAGTAGCGCAAAGAACCGCTCATCAATCCGCCCACTCAAATAACCTTGGCCGTCGACAATCTCTCTCATGGTCAAGCGCCAGGCCTCCAGCATGAGAGTCAATCCCAGCCTCTCCTTGGCCGAGCCGTCGATTTCGACGCTTGCCACGGGGGTCCAGGGCGTCAACACTTCTACAGAATCGTAGAGCTGCTTCGTCTTCTCCTTGGGCGTAGTAGCAGCTCTCGCGTTCGCACGGCTTACATATGCCCTGAGTTGGGCAACTGTGAAGCCATTGATAAGCACATCAAGCAGCGTATAAAAGTCATCGTACGAGACAATGGGATCGGAGGGCCGGATCTCTTCAAGGTTCGACAGCGCCTCCTCCATCGTCAAATCCTTATCTTCAGATGCTAGGCTCTGGCTGATGTCGAATGCCTCGGGAATGAGCTCTTCAACGGGCAATTGCTTAATATTCCGGTGGCTGCGTCTCATGTCGCGCATGACAATCGCTTGTGCCTTTTCTCCCAGCATATCAACGTCCAGTGCCTCAGATTGGAGGTACACACTACGATTTCCAACGCGACGCCTTGAGACTCGGTCGAGGGGGTCTTCGCCGATGTAGTATCTTGTCAAGAGAGGGCCGCTTCGCTTCGTTGGCCCACGGGACAAGGTGGGAGCTTCCGGTTCGGTTTCGATCGATGCGCCATCTCCTTCTACTATTTTGGGTGACATTTGAGAAGGCTGGTCTTTCTTAGATGAGACGTCCTTCTCAGGCACCTGCCTGCTTGGCGGTTCTTCATCCCTCCCTTCTGAGATTCTGGTAAGGCGCTCCCATGCTGATTCGGAACTATACGTCCGTCGCTCGAGGAGCTGGTTTCGAAAAGGGGCGATTCGGAGTGAGCTATGAGCTCTCGGTCGGTCGAGGATTCGTAATTGGCATCGCAGGCATACACCACGAGCAAACACTACTCGCGAAATCATTTGAAAGAAAGAAATACAGAATAACGCTGTACGAGCATTCACATGCCTTTGCGAACATACAGCCATGTCACTCAGACCAGAGCTCCCAAATTTTTGCGACGGGAGCTGGGTGCGATAAGATAAGAGATAAGATAACGTGGCGCGAACCTGCAGGTGCGAAGGGCCTGAAGTGGCACCGCGAAGACCGCGTCCAGTCGCGTCAGATTGCAAGTTCACCGAATTTTACCTACCAGTACAGTCGAATGGCCTACGCTTTGGGTTTCTTCTAAAACTGAATTGAGAATCCGCATTGTGAAGATTCCGTTGTCAGCATTGGAGCACCTTCGTTCCATTCAGAGCCAACATGCCTCCCTCACAAAGGAGGAGACGACCCGTATGCCCCGCGCTAAATCCTCAAGGCTCGCACCAGAGACTAACAGCACCCAGGTCGACGACGAAGACTCAGACGAGGAACCAAGACACCCGAGACAAAGGCGCAATAATGACGAATCTGCTGAAGAAGAAGGATCTGAAAATGGTGCTGTGGACGCCGAAGCGAGCGCAGAGGACCAACTCTCGAAGAAACTGGTGCGATATGCGCTGGCCTGCGAATTTTCGCGAACGCCTATCCGTCGAGACGGTATCAAGGAGCGAGGTACGAAGACACGATGGGCTCGTAGCACTGTGAGCATTACTGACGGTCGCTTCAGTACTCGGAGATCAGGGTAGAGCATTTAGGAAAGTATTCGACCTAGCGCAACAACAGCTCCGCCTCGTCTGGGGCATGGAGCTGCGAGAACTCGCAGTGAGGGAAAAGTTCACAATGGCGGAGAAGCGACAAGGCAAGTGTCATCTACGACACGACGTCACTTGGCATCCCCCGCTAACACCGCGCAGCATTAAAGTCCGGCTCCCAAGCAAAAAGCAGCTCAGGCGTCTACGTCCTATCCTCGACCCTCCCCTCCCAATACCGCTCCCCGACCATCCTCGCCCCCTCAAAAGCGCCGAGCACCGACGCCGAAGCATCGTATGTGGGCTTCTACACCATGATCGTGACCATCATCTTCCTTAGCGGCGGCGAGCTGTCTGAGCAGAAGCTACGGCGGCATCTGAACCGCCTCAACGCCGAGGCGAACGTGGCGGTGGAGAAGACGGAGGACGTACTGAAGCGTATGCAGACGCAGGGCTACGTCGTGCGCAAAGTGCAGAAGAACGCGGGGACGCAGGCGCAGGACGGCAGTGAGGACATTACGTGGCTCATTGGCCCGCGCGGGCTCGAGGAGATTGGTGCCGAGGGAGCGGCGGGCATGGTGCGTTCTGTCTGGGCCGACCAGGCTGATGCGGACCTGGAGAAGAAGATTGGGGCGAGTTTTGGGATTCGCCCGGCTGAGGATGGGGATGGGGATGTGGATATGTCACAGGCTGAAGCTGGGCCCTCGCATTGAGGTGGTGTAGCGGCGTAAAGACGGAGAGGATGTCCATGATTAGTGAGGCAAATTTCGGTGGAACGGGATACCCAAGAAGTAGCAAGCATTCCGAGCGTATGCGTTATGAACGGCCAAAATTGGCAAATGGATTTTTGAGGGTGTTTAACCCTCCATTACTGGTTCCTAAACACAATGACCCCAACGCCAGTCTCTTGTAATCCTATATCTTTTTCAAGAACCATGCCTCGATAGTCGTCGCTGGTCGTTAATCTTCGCGTTGTGGTGGTGGACCGGCAGGTTGCATCATTTTCTATGAGCAGTTAGAAAGCACGTCTCGAACCATCTAGAATTAGGCTTCAACATACCCTGATTAACCTCGCGCGCAGAAGCTGTGTAGGCTCGTTCTCAGCCAAGGCCATGTACGACAGCATAGGTGGGTGGCCGGCGATGGATGAGTAGGTGTCGCGGTAGATATTGGTCTTCCACTCCCAACTCGTCGTATCGGGGTGTCCGGTGCCAACGTACTTGGCCTGGAGGCGCTCGAGTTCTTGCTGGTTGCGGAGTTTGTCGGCCTATACATGAATCCTGTTAGATGGTTCTCGAGTTTCAACGGGGATGTCAATATACCATGTTGTCTTGTGTTGCTGAAGAAGAATGTGGATGGTGTTTACAAGATTGTAAAGCCTCAACGCACTGGACTGTCTTCCATGGATGCGCCGGCTGAAGCTCGGCAGACGTTCACCGAATAAAGCTGGCTGGAAGGGACGTGCGCGCTTGAGCTGCCTTCACCTTGAGGACCCACTCCTTTCCAACTCAACCACGGACTTCCCAGTCTCCTTCAACTACTTTACATCTCAACATAAGCAAAGGGTTCATCAAACGAAGGATATTGCATCTCATTGGTATTATCTCCTACTCTCATTGAAGAATCACTCTTGAGAGGACGAAATCCTCAGATACTCTTTTCTCCGCCAACATCTTTCGTTGCCTACGACAACCACAGGAACAAAGCCAGTATGAGCAAGAGCCAGATCCAGCAGAGGGTCTTGCAGACCAAGCGGAAACAGCAGAGAAATGAGGCCGAATCCATCGAAAAGTTGAAGGTCAAGTGCGCGGAGGAGCACAGCAAGGCCCACGTTGCGCACTGCAAAGACTGTTACGGGGAGGTTGTGGAAACGATGAGAAGTAGATATGCCGATTCCAAGGATGAGTGGTTCTCCGACAACAAGGCCTTCTTGAGTGATCTCGACGGCTTATTCGCCAAGCTGAGAGACTTTACGGAAGATCTCAAGTCCATCGAGGCTCGGATCGACAAGGAAAAGCAGAGGCACTACCGCGAGACTCTACCTAAATCGGTTGCAGGACAGATCACCGAGGCGTCGATTGGCAAGGAGGAATTCCAGGCTGCATTGTACGACGAGCAAAAACCCACCACTGCTCTCATCGAGGATGTCCGAAAAGTCGTCGGCAAAGGGGGCAGCAATTCTCCAGGTTTGGAGGAATTAGCACCGAAATTCGACGACCTTCCGCCAGAGAAGGCAACTGATGTCCTCATTGACGTCTTCTTCCGCGACCCGAGCACGGGTGAGATTCCGGCATCATGCAGCAAGTACGTTGAGAAGCTGCGGTCCGGATCGTCCATTGACGAAGTGATGGGGGCCATGCAGGCCGACAAGTCGGCGAGGTCCAACGCTGCTGGGAATATGGACCGGCACAAGCGGACACTGAACGAGCTTAAGAGGGCGCAAGCGGCACATGAGCAGGATAAGCTCCTGAAAGCTCAGAAGCGGCAGCAGCCTCCGCCTCAGGGTCCGCAAGTCAACAAGGAACTGTACGATCTTCCGCCTTGCCTCGCTTGCTCCGGCAAGGTGTCGTCAGAGGTCATCGCGTGCCCTTTGTGTTTGATCTTTGCCGAGCTGAGCCTCACTAAGAGGACAGTCTTCGACTCGGAGAAGTGTTACGACGAGGCATATGTAAGTCAATCCCTATCACTGCAGCGACTACGTTGGTAGGCTAACAGATAATACAGGATGAGCACGTGAACACGGCGCACAGCTGTGCGGCAGGCAAGGGATGCATCCAGCTCAAGGAGGAAGACGAGGAGATGGGCGGTAGTGGCGAGGGACCTGTGATCTGTGAAGAATGCGCGGAACAACTTGGACAGAGTATAGTGTACTGTTCGTCCCGCTGCGCAAGCTCGGATTTCCAAGCCCATCGAGAGGGAGTTCACATCCCGAATTGGAAGGGACTCGGTATCGACCTTGGCACTCAGGGGGAGCACTTGGTCTATGACAATGATGAGAAGACCAGGTATCACGTCAACGATATCTCCAAATTCGTGTGGCGCCTTGACGACGCATTTGATCGCGTCTTCAAGGGGAACAACCCTGATATCAAAGATTTACAGCGATAAGGAGACGCTCGTCAGCATGTCTCCTTTGAAAGCTCTCAATGGACAGCACGACAGTTGACGAGGCGAATTCTGTCCGTGAGGTCGACTTGCTCCAATTTATTACATTCAAAAAACAATGACCTATTCCACCAAACCTCCCAATCCAGATGAGTGTATCAGAGCGTGGTTTAACGAGGCTCATAGTGACGTTTCAGAAAGCCACACTGCCACTCCAAGACTCCGAAGTGGTTCGGAACTTATCGTCAGCACCAAGGCCAAAGCCACAGCCACCGCCATTCAAGCACCTAGAGCTAGTTAGGTTCGGTAAAGACTCCAAAAGACCCCTGGAATCCGCCCTAAGAGCGGAGCCGCCTAAGCCTGACGCATGTAACTTCCCCCAAGGCACCGGCCAATCAACAACATCCGAACGTCGCCGGAGGACTCGCTCAACTCATTCGCCGCCCTTTTCCTCAACCCATGTCTCTCTGCCCCGCGAAATTCCCAATGTGCCGAATATTATGGTTCTTGTGGAATTACACCCAACTCACTTCCAACCCCCATTCGCTCAGCTGCAAGACATCCAAGGCATAAGCTGAGCTCTGAGCTGCTCAGATAACGCTCTCATTCATCTCAGCTCCACCATCATTCCCTTTGCTTGGTGTAGCTTCGCGGGCAGTGGATCCCAACTATACTCTCCCAGCTCGTCCAGATACGGGAAGGCATCAGTCGCTTTGTCTTCATCTCTCTCACTCCCCGCCAAGCTTCTCTTCGAACATCTTCGGCACTTGTTTGCCTATTTAGTCACTTCACTTGTTCCGGGCCGAATATCCGAGCACCCCCATACACCCCGATCCGTCACTCCGTGTCGCCAACACATCATGGAGCCCGGTACCGATCCTGACGCCGGTGCCAACCCGCGGCAGAGAGTGACCAATGCCTGTGAAGCGTGCAGGGCAGCCAAGGTCAAGTGCCAAACCAGCGTGCAGCTGGGAATATGTCGAAGGTTTGTTGTGTGTGGCCACCCTAGTTCCGGGCGGTACTCCCCCGAGCTGTCCCGGCGTATAAGTCCATTCATCCGTATGCTCACCAGCCGCCCGAACAATCCAGATGTCTCGACTTTAAGAGAGAATGTATCTTCCGCACCGGTCCAAGGACCCGTCGTCCACGGCAATCTAAGCAGTAAGCTCTCGTCACCTTCTTTGTATCCATTACCTGCTATTGTGTGATTTCTCAGCTTCAGATGAGTCTACCGCCTCACCAACCATACTCACATGCTACAGAAACCAAGACGCACCCAGGCCGCCTCCTCCACCGGGACCCTCAAAGACGTTCAGCATCGACTTTGAGATGCCCCAAGTGGAAGAGCCCGACGACCTCGAAAGCCTTGCCGCCCGGCACGACAAGTACGTGGACGAGTTTCTACCACCAGAGTCCGACCTAGAGTCCATAGAGATGATGTTCGGCCTCGACGCCGGCTCCGGTAGCGGTCCCCACTCGTCCATCTCGTCTCCACCGTCCTCGGGCCCGTCCGTCTCGGTATCGAGCTTCGGTCTCAAACCGCAGTTCAACCTGGATTCAGCAGAAAAGCTGCTATCAACTTTCCGCGTCATGCTCAAGCATTTTCCCTGTGTGGCACTCCCGCCCGATGCCACAGTTACTTCGCTTTCAAAGACGAAACCGTTCATGCTTCTCGCCATCCTCTCGACGGCGTCTGCTACCAGTGCATTGCAGGGCCACACTCTCTACGACGAAGAGTTTCGCAAGATTCTGGGTCTCAAGTTCGTGGCCGGTGGCGAGCGGACGCTAGAGCTCCTCCAAGGGTTGCTCATCTATACGGCATGGTGAGCTTGCTATAACTGACTGACCCCCCTTTGAGGCAAACACCCCCTTACACAATTCAGGTACCCCTTCCACCTCCGCCCAAAGAACAAACAAGCCTTCCAATACGTCCGCATGGCAGCCGAGATCCTCCACGATCTCGAGCTGAACCATCCACCTAGCCAAGGCGCAGGCTCACCTGCCGGCGGCGGCGGGACGGCCTCGTCATCGTCCTCTGCGCCAGATCAAATGGACGGTATTCGTGCCTACGTGTCCTGCTACTACCTGGTGTCAGCGCACGTACTGCCCTTCCTGCAGTATTTTCGCCGCACGACTCTGACCGATGCTAGGTTCGCAATGGCCTGGGCCAAGATGGCGATCCTGGCCCTCGACTACACATCATGGACGGCCACCTGCTGCGATCTGCTCGAGCACAATTCTGCGCTCAAGGGCGATCACACGCTCGCGTGGCTGGCTAGGCTGGTTCACATTACCGAGGAATCGGCTGCCATCGCAAAGAGTATACCGCAAGGGGATCAGGCGAAGCAGCAGGTTCACTTCATGTTTCTCGGGCTCGAGAGCCAGCTGAGGGAGTGGCAAGGCAGGATACCAAGCAGCCTCGGCGATATCAGTCAGTCTCCATCTCCCATCCAACAACGCACAACCCTCCTTCCTTATACTAACTCAACCCGTCCCCAGACTCCCTTACACTAGCCAACCTATTCACCGAAATGTTCCTCCTCGCCGGCCCAGTCTACACCCTCCGCTCGACAGCAAAAATAGGCGACAGCGACCTCGGGCCCCCGATCCCAGCCCACCGCCTCGACAAGTGCCTCACCCTCCTCCGCACCCTCCTCGACTTCATGACCAACCTCCCAGCCGCCGCCTTCGTCGAGCTCAGCTCCATCGACTGGGGCCGCTTCATCCAGGCCGTCATCCTCGCCATCCGCCTCTCCTTCCCCATGCCGCTCTGCCCGGAGTGGGACCACGCCCGCGCCCGCGAGCAGCTGCAGTTCGACTCGTACCTCGCGCGCCTGTGCGCCAACAGCGAGGCGCCGACGCTGACGCCCGCGACCAAGAGCACCATGGACGTCCTGTCTGCGGGGAAAGTTGTCTTTTCCGTCGTCAAGCGCAAGTACGAGGCTCGCGTCGCGAATATCGAGACGCCGGTGAATAAGCTGCCGCGGACGATTCGCGGGTGTCCGATGTTTGATGGGAGTCTGGATCAGTATTTCCCGATTTGGGATCAGGATCTGAATAGGGACGGGACGCATGGGTTGGTCTCTCCCGCGACGAATGGGACGCCTGTGATGGTGAATGGGCAGCCTATCTATCATGACCTGTGGACGACGATGACGATGAACTGGCCTGATGGTATGGCTGGTGCTGCTACACCCGGGTTTGATCTGGGCCAGGCCCAAGATCCGACCATAGGCCTCGATCCTTCATTTCAGGGGGCCATGGACCTTGGCCCTTCTCCTAGTGGTAGCGGGTGAGGTTGGTTTGGTCTGCGACATTTGGCGCTTTTTGTCATCCGGGTCATTTTGAGTAGCGGCAGCGAACCTATTGCTCTTGAATGGCGTTTAGATTTGGGTCTCTTCTCATTATTTGGCGAGCGAGATTTCGGCTTCATCACATAATCCGCATTAGGGCGTGGACGAATTCGGCATCATGTGTTCCAGTCTGATAGAAGAATATCATATCTCTTGTTTTCTGAAATTCCGTCATCATCCTACCCCTTTTTCCTCATTGACATGTCCACAATGGGCTACATCTCGAGATCGGAACAGCGACAAGATAGCTGCTGCCTGCTCATCGTGGAGTATAAAAAGAGCGCCACGGCCATGGTGAAAGGCAAGCGACCAGTGTCTCCCACATAACAAGGGCAGAATACTCCGACGTCGTTGATGAGCGAGGGAAGGCGCAGCTGCAGTAGTGGTCGGAGTAAAGAAAGGAAAGAGAGAAGACTCTCGATTAGAGAGATAAAGGCTCGTTGTTCGTTCATTTCCCTTGATCCCGCCCGTATTCGTCTCATACTAATAACAGGGTTGTGCATAACGGCCAATAATAGGACTGTCGATGGCGGGGATAGTAATAGGACTTTGGGAAAAGGGGAGCACGATAGGACTATAAAAAATAGGGATACTAATAGGACTATAAGTAACATAGGGAACAATAGGACTTTAAGTGACTAAATAAAAATAATAATAAATAGGACTATAGATAACGGGGAGAATAATTAGACTATAAGTAACGGGGCGCTATTATAGCTTCTCTTAGGAACTCGCTTTTTTAATCTATATATAATAAGATAATAACCTTTCTCATATCCCGAGTAGCAGAGCATAGAGGGGGAATGTCTAACGGCTAGACTTTAAGCTCCCTGCTATTTAGAAGAGGCACTAAGCTGATATGTTACCACCGTATTCGGGTATAATAAGTCTTAACCTCGTTTATTAGATATGTAATGTCATAACGCACCCAGCTTATAGCAGGTCTATTCTTAATAACATTACGTATCCGTATATAAATAATATCGAGTTAAAAAAAATCGAGGGACAAAGCTCTTTATTAAGAAAGCAAAGGCTCAGCGTTCGTTCACTGTCCGTGATCCCGTCCGTATTCGACTCACGCTTATAACGAATATCACGACGCCAACGAAGCGGGATGCTGCGAACGGACGTTTACCTTGTATGAAAAATCCACATGGGAAGACTAGGAGCACATACACACACATAGACACCCCACCGCGACTCACTCGGCAACAACGGCTTGGAGATTGGACAAGGAGCACATTCCTTCCATTACAAGATTGGCGATGATGAAACTAGGCTGGCTCGGCGTTGAATACTTGTATAGCTGTTCAGGAGGTGGGCAGGGGGGTCATTTTGGCCTTGCCGTTTAGGGCAGCGGTGACAACGACCTTGGGCTTGGAGCAAGCCAGGCAAGAACGCCAAGGGTAAACTCGTGGATGAGAATGGTATCGTCGAAGCTCATACCTTAAGCCAGATTGTTGGAAACCAATCTATCCTATTCAGTGGAATCTCACATCTCTCTGGTGCTTATAATTAGATGGACAAGAACGTCGAGGTTTGACTCGTCATTTCGAATTTCATCACCACGTTGAAATCATGGGAGAGTGGACATTGAGCGCTTTGGATGTCCCAGAGGATGATAGACGCAGTATCAATTCGATTGTCTAG